GGCATTCCAGTTATTGCTTGCAACATCCGTGAGTGTCTTTCTTCATCGTCATCCTCCTCGTCTTCTGTTTTGTCTTCATCGTCACTGTTCTTGCTAACCTCGTCGTCATCACCGTCATCAGACTGCACGTCTTCATCCTACAAAATACATAAGAAACCAATCAATCAAAAATAATCTGTTATAAACAGAAAGTGATCCAACTTTCCGAAGAAAGGGAACCTTACTAGCATCTATCTGCTTGTAATAAGATCACCAAATTAGGCCACGGCCAACCAAACTACCAGTACCATGTCCGCACATGGAAGTTCAAGCCCAACAATATGATAGTATACAGAATAAATTGTATCCCAGGATTGACGGCCCTTCTGCGGCCCGTCGACTTCGAATTGAGCACATATAATCTCTCATACTGCACAAGCTGCAGCCGCTCCCGAATTCACAGTTCAAGACATCCACTCAAATCATCCCTAAGCCCTAAACCCTAAACCTATGTCGGAATCTAACCTCGATACCAGAATCTCAAATACTTCTGACCTAGAATTACCTTTTCTTGAGAAGAAAATCGAATTCATAGAAGTACATCCGGAGTAATTCGCTTAGAAGCCTTAGAAAATTCACCAATGTAGGAACTTGAACCGAGTGGGGGTATAGAGAAAGCAAGCAAACCTCAAAATTCTCAGGGAGCTCGTATTCGTAGTTTTCAACACGATCGAAGCGGGCGTTCTTCCTGGACTCCTCCTCAGGAATCCCTTCCTCATACTCATACACATCTCCGTTCCCTTCATCCGAATCGATCTCTTCGTCGCCCTCGGAATCCAATCGACCATTCGACTTCTCATTGATGTGTTCGATCGCCTTCCGAAGCGTGTTCGGCAAGTGAGGACCGGAGATTCGCCTCTTCTTCCCCTTCCTGCCTCCACCGTTCTTCTTCGTTCTTTTCGCGCTTTTCCTAACCTGAACGTCCATATTTTCCTGGCGGCAGCTCTGTTAGGGTTTCTCAGATATAATATGAAGTAGCCAAGCTCAAAGATTAGCAGTCGTGCCCGGCAGGAGGAAGAAAAAACCATGATGTATAAATAATTCGAGTTGCAAAAATATCTTGGTCGAAAAGTCATATGGGCTTTCCTTATTGGATCTTAAGGCCCATTCTCATTTTATATGTTTGGGCCTCACTTATTGGATCTTGAGGCCCAGTATCATTTGTTGATATGTTTGGTTTGGATATATAATATATATGTATAATGCATAGTGTATAGAGCGCAGTAGTGGATGGCCTTAATTGACATAAAAGGGAAAAAGGAAATCAGAAAATTCGAAAGTCCAAAGGCTTTCGAGAGAAGACTTGGAAGGAGGAGGAGACGAAGAAGCCCGCGCCAACACTCTTCCAGTGGAAGCCATTGAATCGGTCTATAAATTTACTTATATAACCCATTTGTCTTCCGGACGACGAGGACGAGGAAGACGTGTGAAATGGCGGACAAACTCAAAGTCTACGAACTGCGAGCCAAACTCGCCGACCGCGGACTCAGCACTGACGGAGTCAAGGCTGTTCTGGTCCATCTCCGATGACATTCTCTTTGAATATTCTGTTTGTCCGACGACGAATTTCTCAGTGGTTTCGGAATTTTGCAGGTGGAGAGGCTCGAAGAGGCTCTTCGAGAAGAGAGCAAGAAGAAGGCGGCGCCGGAGGGTAAGAAGAGAAGCCGAGAAACTTCGGACGGGGACAACGGTTCGAACAAGGTCATCGCCATTGACGAGTTTCGTCGGATGAGTGTTAAGCAATTGCGCGAGGAAGCTAATCGGAGAGGGTTAGAGTCAAAGGGAACCAAAAAGGATATACTTGAGAGGCTTTGCGATGATGCGAATAATGGGTTGAATTCTTCTGGTAAATCCGATGATGGTATGTTAACATTTCTCTGTTTGGTTCAACACGCACTTGTTGCTGCAATTGTTTGGTTTAGATTCTTAATATGTTGGGAATTTTGGTAAATACCATTTTTTTAATTAACAAGATTGAATCTTTGATTGATGTGATGCCATTTAATGGCATGGTATTGGGATGCCCTTTGATTTTTACTACAGGTATCGTCTTTATAATGTGTTTTCAGCGTCGGCTAAGGTGGGAGACAAAGACAAGGATGCTAAAGAAGAAGCGGAAGAAGAGAAAATTGTAACAGCAACAAAAAAGGGCGCGGCAGTATTGGATCAATGGCTTCCTGACCATATAAAGAGTCAGTATCATGTTCTACAACTGGTGAGTTTTATGAACTTGATCTCAAGTTTAGATCTTGTTGTATCATGTTCTACAACTGGTGAGTTTTATGAACTTGATCTCACGTTTAGATCTTGTTGTCTGTATGGACATGGTAGTCGGCATTTTTCAGATTGACTTGAGATTTCCTTGGTGGTGCCGGTGCAGGGTGATGATGTTTATGATGCCATGTTAAACCAGACAAATCTCAAGGACAACAATAACAAGTTCTTTGTCCTACAAGTCCTGGGTGATTCCTTTACACCATATAACTATTTTACTTATTGCCATGTTGTTTATGATACCCTCACAATTTTTTCATACGAATAACATGTTTCAGACGGATTAGATGACCCTTGTCTTGTTTTAGATCTGACAACCCCTTTGAGCTGTTATAGCTTTTGATGTCTGTTATGTCTTGTTCATTTTATTGCTGTGTGATCTGTATGCAGAGTCAGATAGTAACAAGGCATACATGGTTTACTTTAGATGGGGAAGAGTTGGCGTGAAGGGTCAAAGTAAGTTAGATGGTCCCTATGGTTCACCAGATCGTGCAGTATCAATGTTTACAAACAAGTTCTTTGAGAAAACAAAGAACTGTTGGTCCGACAGAAAGGACTTTGTGTCTCATCACAAGTGCTACACATGGCTGGAGATGGACTACAGCAAAGAGGAAGCGGATCCAGTTGAGTTTCTTTTTCTAAATTCAGACCCCCTTTTCCTATTTTGTTTTCCAAATCAAACAAAATGTTTATAGTTTACGTGCAATTAAAAATGTTTTTTTTTTTTTCTGGTGGAGAAATTAGGTGTGTTCATTTACTGAAACTGCAATTTCTCTGAGTTAATATCTTGTTTTCTTTTCAGGTCAATGATATGCCCAAATCATCTTCAGAAGTCAAACCTCAGGAAACAAAACTTGATCCTCGGATTGCTAAGTTCATCTCTCTCATATGCAATGTCGGCATGATGGCACAGCAGATGATGGAGATAGGTTAGTCTATCATTTTCATTTTTCACTTCATTCAAATCCTTTTTTATCCTGTCTTCCATTGGTTTGCCCATTTTTCTGTTTTGTATGCTTCTTGCTCATTTTGTCATACTGCTTCCAGTATGTTGGTTGAATAACTTGGATTTGAAAATTTGATGTACAGGTTATAATGCTAACAAGTTGCCACTCGGGAAGCTAAGCAAGTCGACTATTTCAAAGGTAATAATAAGTCAAAATCTATTTGGCCTCATTCAACTAGTCTGCTATATTTTTATTTTTATTTTTGTAAGATCAGATAATAGCTCCTGTGCAATCTATCTAGGGTTATGAGGTGTTGAAGAGAATATCCGAGGTAATCAACCGGCAAGATAGGGTGAGGCTCGAGGAACTGAGTGGGTAGGTATCTTGTTGCAATAAACTTTTTTTTTTTTTTGCTTCTTGACCATGCTCTGTGTTTATCAGATTTTTTTAGAGTATCTTGAGGACACACCAGTTTCAAGAGAGTCTAACGTTGTGTCATTATCAACGCAGAGAGTTCTATACCGTGATACCTCATGATTTTGGTTTTCGGAAAATGCGTATGTTTCTACATCCGTGTAAAGTTTTGCCAAAAAGAAGTTTCGTTAGAACCAAACATATGCTAATCTCTAAGTTCTGCCTTCTAACAGGTGAGTTTATTATAGACACGCCCCAGAAGTTGAAACAGAAATTAGAAATGGTAACTCTGTTTTTCCTCTTTCCTGCTTATCATTTTCCTGCTTTCAGATAAGAAAGGATGTGATGCTACCAGATTCACATTTACCACTTTTATGCGAGATGTTGTTTACCTTTATGTATTTAATGAAAGGTTGAAGCCTTAGGTGAAATTGAAGTGGCAACAAAATTGCTGTCAGCTGACGCTGGATTGCAGGTAAGGCTGATCACTTTGACACTGGGCACAGAATCACTTGCCTGTTACTTTGCGTTTCTCAGACTACAGTCTGGTTGCTTTGACATTATTTCTTGCAATGATTGTAGGAAGATCCTTTATATTATCATTACCAGCGCCTTAATTGCGATTTGACACCAGTACAAGCTGATACAGAGGAATTCTCCATGGTATATATTCTTGGTTTTGCTAACTTCTATATAGTATATAGACTATTTATAAGTACGTTAACCTTTTCAATCTCTACTCCTGATGCAAAACCAGATTGCCAAGTATATGGAGAACACTCATGCAAAGACGCATTCAAGATACTCAGTCGAGATTGCTCAAGTATTCAGAGCATCGAGAGCTGATGAAGCTGATCGCTTCAAAAAGGTATATCATTGTGATTTCATTCATGTCTGTGTTGTTGTGAAATAGTGCAATCCAGATGAACCCTCTACTCGTGAATGATCCGTGGTACCGACACTAATATGCTATTTCATGATACAGTTCTCCAGCTCAAAGAACAGGATGTTACTGTGGCATGGGTCGCGTCTTACAAATTGGACTGGCATTCTATCTCAAGGTGCTTTTCTGTTTTTTGTTTCTCCTCTTTCTATGCTTAATTCAACTGTGTAGTGAACTGGAACACTGTTGGCCAGGACTTAGGATTGCTCCTCCGGAAGCACCTGTAACAGGTTACATGTTTGGGAAGGGGGTCTACTTTGCTGATATGTTCTCAAAAAGTGCCAATTATTGCTATGCTTCTCAGTCTCTGAATGATGGTGTGCTTCTCCTATGTGAGGTATTTTCCTACAACCATCATGATGATGATGATGATGATGATCCTAGTCTCTCACCAAACAGACGTTTATAGGTTGCTTTGGGTGACATGGCTGAGCTTCTCTACGCAAATTACAGTGCTGATAAATTGCCCCCTGGAAAGCTAAGGTATACATATATATATTCGGACATTCTTCAGCAACTTGTATGATTATGTTTCATATATGAAGCGTTATTCGTCCTCTTTAGGACCCATTTGCCAGTCGGTCCGTTCATACGTTCGTGTATAATAACTAATGTGATATTATAACAAATGGGTGTGAGCAGCACAAAGGGTGTAGGCAAAACAGCACCAAATCCCTCGGAAGCTCGGACTCTAGAGGACGGTGTTGTCGTTCCTCTTGGAAATCCAGTTGACCAGTCCGGCCCCAAGGTTTCACTTTCAAACACAAACCACTTAACGGAATCATCTATCATCCATCCAAAAAGTCTAAAAATTGCTGCTGTGTTTTTAAAAAAAAAAAATCACTGGCTTGGCTTCTTATGGCTTTTTGTAGGGGACGTTGCTGTACAACGAGTACATAGTCTACAACGTGGAGCAGATAAGGATGCGGTACTTGATCCAAGTCAAGTTCAAATACACTTATTGAACACTTCATCTCCAACTCTTCCTTCTCCTTCTCTTTTCTTGCATAACCTTACCAACTTAAAACTGGTACGAGGTTCCTCCTTGACTCTTGTGATTGTCTCCTGTTTCTGCCCCTTTCCTATTTTCTCACATGCCCTTTTCTGAGAGGATGAATGGTGACCAAAGTCGAGCAGATGCATTGGTTTTGTCGCTTTAAAAAACCTTGTATGATTGTATTATGTTTTTTTACCTTGTATCGAACTTTTGGCCTAACTACATCTCTCAAATGTTGGAGATAATTTGTATACTGCAATTAAATTATATATCTCCTCTCTGACGATCATTTGAACATGAAACAAAGGTATCCTTATCTTTTTCAACCGGATACCACTTGATCAATTCCAATTGGGTAATTGTATCATGTTAACGTTGTAATTCCCTCATTCTCTGACAAAAACATTTTTTTTATGTAGAGTATGTAGAAATTTGCGGAATGATATTTTTATTGATAGTCAAAATATCATATAAATAGATGAGAGTCTTACATTTGAATAAGTAATAAATATTCCTAAATATATATTTTCCGGATTTGATAAGATCTCCATTATACGATATATCTCGTAATATTCTTCAAGATCCAGTATATCTCAACATCCCCCTTCAAGTTGGAGCGTGGAAGATCATGAAACGCCCAACTTGCTGAAAAGATAATCAAACGCATGCCGCTTGAACCACATCACCTTGCAAACTTGTGTTAATCATAACTAAAAAAAAAATCAAATAAACGACTGCGCTGCAACTTTGGCACCACACACAAAAGAATCGTTTGATGATAACAAAAAAAAGGACGACAATCGCGGTGTAGAAAGAAGTCTCGGGAATAACTCTGATTCATCCGAGATTGAAAGGCAGCTACGCGAAAGCGTTTAATGGCAACAAAGTTTTTGGCAAGAATAAGATGTTTGGCGGTTATGCGAATAATCTTTAGAAACATGTGGGATTATGAGAGAAAATAAAAAAAAAACAAAAATAAAATGACTCTCTTATTCTTAATAATAAAAAACTCGAAATAATATTACCACTGGATCAGTATATCATCATCTTCATCTTCACTCTCATTATCGATCATCATTTTTATAAAAAGAACAACAAATTAGAAAAGAACCAGAAGCACTGATACCATGTAGAAATTTGCGGAATGATATTTTTATTGATAGTCAAAATAACATATAAATAGATGAGAGTCTTACATTTGAATAAGTAAAGTACACATAATAATAAATATTCCTAAATATATATTTTCCGGATTTGATAAGATCTCCGTTATACGATATATCTCGTAATATTCTTCAAGATCCGGTATATCTCAACAGAGTATTGTATTGATGTATTCATTATATGAAAAATTTATGTATTTTTGTAGAAGTTTCAAAAGTTTGCATATTTATATGAAAATTTTTTGAAGTTAATTTTTTTTCCAGCGATTGTTTTGTTTCTAAATTCTTCTATGCAGGTTTTTGTGTGTGTGTGTGTGTGTTGGTAAGAACCTGAATTGTAAGTGGATGTTACGAAGAGTTTCTCCACAACTCGATGACACAGAAAAAAAAAAAGGAATCTATAAAATTACATACTAAAGTAACATATATATAAAGGAGAAAAGATTCTCTTTCCCGTAACACATAAAACCGTATGTATGTATGTATGTATGTATGTATGTATGTGTGTATGTATGTATGTATGTAAACAAAAGTAGAAAGAATCTTATCCGCCGAAAGCCTAACATAACAGTCTGTACCCACCCCTATCATTCACTCATCACGTATGTCTGTCTTCCCAATAATTTAGACACGCTAAGCACGTATGTAGCTATGTATACACATCTACATATCGATACGCGTTGGATAATAATAAAAAAAAAAAAAGCATATATTCGGGTTTTACGGAAATATGATTCCACAAGACTCCAAACCATGGTGTCCATATTTGAATATTCACTAATTATCTATCCATATGCGATTTTAAATTCGTCTGAATTGCCATTTGGTTTAGTTTCAATGTATATACCCATTTTATGTATGTATAGCTGATATGATATGATAATGAATGTCTCAAATTAATTCGATCCGATCAACATCAACCCACATGATATCATCATTTATTCCTACATAGAAAGGGGAAACTTATATATATAATAAGATTTTGGTACCGCAAAACAAAGGAAACGTCGCCGCCCCTTCATGGAACTTATCTCTAACACGCAAACAACAAAAACGAAGATTCTAATTATGGCCACATAATCATATCATTGACTGATGATGTAAAAAAAACTAATTAAAGATTTAAATATAAACCCCAAAAAAAAAAAACCAACAGAGAGAGAAAAGTGGGTCAGCCCTGAATTGACGCAGTCATTTTTGGTGTGAAGGATATTATTTTCGTGGTTTCTTCCTTTGCTCTCTCTCTCTATATATACCCTTTCTCCCCCCCCCCTCTCTCGAAACCCATCTCCTCAGCCATTTCGATACAGAGAAAGAGGAGGAAGAAGAAACAAGTTTCTTCGATTCCGTTGCTGTCTGAAAGATTCGGAGGCGACGAAGAAGAACTTGTGGGGAAAAAAAAAGTTTTTTTTTCTCCTCTCTCATCCTCTGCTTTCTCTCTGTGTCCCGCGCTAGCCGAAACCCAAAATCGAAATGGCTCGTTCTCTCTCTAACGCTAGGGTTCTGTCCAACCTCGTCTCCAACGCCGTTTGCAGGTAATTACATACGCATGTACGGCATATCCATGTTAATCTGGAATGATCTCTGTTCGTCTCTTTCATGGCGTCCCCTCTTGTTTCTTGTCCCTGTGCACGAGAAAACGGGGAACGTGACATTTTTTTTCAATCAGATCAATACCTATTTGGGCAAAGTTCGATTCTTTTTCCGTTTTCGAAGATACCCTCGTCCTCTAGATCCCGCAAATAATCAGTTCATAAAACAAAAAAAAAACGTTCTTACATGTATATCCATATTTTGCTGCAAACGAATTTACAACTAAACGACGTCGTTTCCGATGTATCCAGGCGAGGATTCGCGGCGGCGGCGACCGCGCATGGGAGTGTCAGCGGCGGAGGAAGAGGCGGAGCAGCGACGGCGTTGAAGAAGAAGGTAGGAGAAGAGAACTCTCAGAAGGCGACGTGGGGACCAGATCCCAAAACCGGTTACTATAGACCGGAAACCGGTTCCCAGGAGATCGACCCGGCCGAGCTCCGAGCCACCCTCTTGAACAACAAGCACTAATTGCCATCATTAGTGGACGCTTGATCTCGATTAATGCTTCTAATGATGTCATTTGATTAGTGCGTCGTGGGTTGTGATCCGGTGCGGTGAACCCCATATTTCTCCCTGTGAGATTATTCAGTAATAAACTTAGAACAAAGCGGCTGAGTCTGTATTTCTCGTTCCTTGTAATATATGGATCGTTTGGATTTATGAATATAGTTTTTATAATTTTCGTCTTTCAATTCATTTCGCTATAAACGTGACAATAATTTTAACATGGTTTATATTAAAACTATATATGATCATATCATCTTGCATGATAAGATCAAAGTAAACCCTTTAAAATATATAAATATTTTATTTATTATAATTTTCAGTTATAATTCAAATTATGAGGTTAGAACAAGATAAGGTTTGTCATGATATAATTGCAATAATAATGAAAGTATTTTTATTCAGTTTTCTGTTCCTTGGAGAGGACGACAGGATCTTCCTCGCTAATTAACAATTCGGGTTATTAGATTAACCATGCAATTAGCCACAATATAACAACCACTAATCAACGCTAATGATGAGCATGTTGAAATTAAATTTGATTTTGTTTGAGTTTTATTTTGGATCTATTTAATTTTTGTGTTAAATTTATTTTATTGAATCATTGATCCAAAATAAATTGAACCAAATCCGAAATCAGTTTATGATCCAATTTCAATAAAATTTATAAAGAAAAATATCTAGAAATTTAGATAGAAAAATCTATATATTATAACATTTTATTTAATATACTTTTATAAATAATTGTAATGAAATGGGTTTAAATACCTCTTCTCTCTTTCATTTGTAATACGAAACAAAATATACAAAAAAAAAAATCTTGAATCTCTCTTTTAAATGTTCTTCCAAAAAAAAATCTTAATTTTTCGAATTCTTTTTTCGCATTGTTAGAGACACAAATTAATAGGAAAGACATGTTTTGTCCCTTGCAGTGTACAAAGTCATAGTGGCCAAATATTAATTTAAGGTTTAGAGGGGGGTGGTCATTTTGTCTGCTAGGGACAGTGTAAGTAATCCACATAATATAAAATTTGCATTTTTTATTATTTTTTTATCAACATGACAACCAATTGCTATAATTATTATAAGATTTTTGTAATGAATTTAAAAGAAAATAAAATAATATGGAGGAGAGGTGGAGCTGTTTTTGGGTAAAGGGCCAAACAACATAGAAGACGTGTGTTGTTTGCTTTTGAAGAGGCAAATATGGTCACGACTTAGAGAGAGAGAGAGAGAGAGAGAGAGAGAGAGAGAGAGAGAGAGAGAGAGAGAGAGACGTTCATGCATCTGTAAAAGTCAAAGATTGAATATTCCATCGTTGACCATTACAAAGATTAAATAATTTGGTTCCTTTATATTCTAACGACTACGATCCATTTGCATGAATCTATTCGGTCGATTTTAATAATCAACTTTAAATCTTATAGTAACCTAACTTAGGTAATCTAATAAAAAAACAAAATAGTAATATTATTCTATATCCTGCATTATCCCCAACCTTTCACTACATATATATCTAATATAATCACCCAACCCACCATATATAGAATTTTTTTTCTTAATTAAGTCTTTTTCTTTTTTACACGCGGGCTTGTTTTTTTTCGAACTTGAAATAAAAAAATGTATAATTAAAATAACTCGAAAAATCAGTATCACTAGAGTCTAGATATTCCAGTACCAACCGATTGAAACTATTTTAATATAAATACTATTATTTTTATAAGAAAATGTTATATTCCTTTGACAAAAAGAAAATGTTATATTCAATGACACTTATTTCGAATTTTGATTTAAGTTAATATTATAATTTTAATTAGTTCACATGTTGGGAATGAGCGCATAATTCAAATCACATTAGTGGTTTTCGATTCCGGGATTAGTTTGGATCTCTGTACAGAAAAACTGATTACCAAAAAAATAATAATTTTTATTAGGTGTAAAGGAGGCCTTCACGTATTATGGAGAGAGAGAGAGAGACTTATGGGGTGCTCTACCAACGGTCGACCCTTCTATGAAAACCACACATCCCAACTATGAAAATATCCCCTCGTTTTTGTTTTATTTTCTCAAGCAACAAAAGAAGAATCTTTTTAAATTCATATTCTTTTTACAAATATTCTTACGATTTTTTAATTATATATATATATATATATATATATATATATGTATGGACAGAGAG